CCCCTATGTATAATATTGAAGGGGTAGATAATATATGATATATATATGGTTGCTATTAGTTACCACCCCTTCTCCCCCCTGTGTGTAATATTGAAGGGGTAGATAATATATGATATATATATGGTTGCTATTGATTACCACCTCTTCTTTGCCCTGTCTAGTGAATGTATGATTAGGATAGTGTATCTAATAACTATCATGTGACGGTGGCATAGGAGTTAGATTGATGTGTTGGCATGCTTCTGGGATTACGTGAGATGCTTGGGCATCGCCTGTTATGCTTGGAGATTACCTGGGATGCTTGGGCCTTAACCAGAGATGCGTGGGCTATCACCTGCAATGCTTGTGAGATCACCTGGGATGGTTGGGCCATGACCTAGGGTGCCTGTGCCCTGCGCTGGGTTGCTTGTGCATTAGTTGGGATGCTTGCACCATCAGCTGCGATACTTGGGTAATCACTGGGGATGCTTTGGCCATCTCTTGGAAGGTTAGCGCATCAGCTTGAAGGTTGCTTTGGCCATCGCCTTGAATGGCTTGGGAAACACCTTGAGTGTTTTGGGCATGACTTGGGATGCTTGAGCCATAACCTAGCATGCTTGGGATGTCACCTGGAATGGGTGGAGCATCTCGTGCAATGCTTGAGGCATCACCTTGGCGGTAAAAATTATAAAAAGTTTATGGCGATAACTTCGAAAAGACCCTAGATTTTATTCTTTCAAGTTTATGGCATGTCATGGAAGATTAGACAGAAAGCTTTATAATGCAGGCGGTGATAGTAAAGCTGTGAAATAATTTATTGCTGCTATTGACATGAATTGATGAAAATCTTTTCAACGCTCTTCGCTTCATTAGCTTTTTTCTTGAAGTTGATGTCGCTTGGTCACAAATCTTGATTTAACTTTCTCACCCCATACCCCAATCATTCTCAAAAAATGTGCATTCCCCCCCCCCCCCCCGATCTTCATTTTTTCATCACTCTATACATGGTTTTATTCATAGAAGAACAACGATTTTTTCCATGTTTTTGGAACTTGC